GCGCGTGGGGACGCGGCGCCCTGGGCTTGGCCCGCGCGGCACCCGCGGGGACGGGGGCTGTGGAGGGGACCGACGTGTCGCTCAGGGCGTTGCAACTTTTTCTTGGGGTATTTGCGTGCGGCGGGGATAGGTGATTTTGGACTTTCTGACCAGCAGTTTTAGGCTGCAGACTACTGACAGGATTTTGCTGGTCTCGGGTTAAGGGTTTGGCATCCGGATTTCTTTTTGTCTCCAGGAGAAGACAGAACACATGATTTGGTAAAGCATTGCTTTGCCAGTCTAATTTGGAATTAGCAAGGGTGGAGTGGCTTGGTCATGGTCCGCTCCGGGTTTTATTTGGTTGTTTCCTATTTGCTGGCACGCTTTCCTCATCCCCCTGGAACCCAGGCACCCCAGATATTTGAAAAGCAAAAGTTAGGTTGAACCAGGAGGACTTGTCTTGGGTCATCCTATGGAAAGTTTTCCACTGCTGTTACAGCAATGCCACACTGCCTTTAATTTGGAGTCTGAAACTGGGGGGTTCGGGAAAGGGGTCAAAGTGAGGAAAAGGGGCGTTTTCAGATAGCTGACACTGGGGACCTTGGGGTAACCCTAAGGGCAGAGCATGGTGACTGCTCCTTGCTGAGAAATAGTCTCCTGGAGAGGCTGCTGCTCTGATGGCAGAGTCCAGGGTGTGCTCTGGTGCAGCTTCTGGCAGGCTCAGCCCCCCAGTCCCGTAGTAAACTTTGAAGAAGTGGTTAAGTGGTGACATTGAGCCCCGTGGATGGAGGCTGGCGCGTCTGAGGACCTGGGCCTCCGAGACCTGGAGCGGGGGCTGGCTGGGGAGGTTTCTCAGCGAAAACCCAAGTGCCCAACGCACAGAGCCCTTCCAGCTAGGAGAGGCTGACCTTTGCCTCTGAGTCGCCACACTGAGGCTCCCACAGCCGCTGGTGGCCCACAGCCTCCTTCCAAGGCTTCCTCTGGGAGCCCTAGCTTGTCTGGAGTGAGTAAACAGGAGAGCCAGGACTCCAGGCCAGTCCCCAGGGGCTTCAACAGAGCACGAAGGTGGACCCTTGTTAGCCTTGGAGACAGGGCGTGGGTGACCTGCTGCTCACCTCCCTCCTTATTAAGAGACTGTCATCGTGGCACCCAAGGCCTGTCGGTGTGTTGGGGAGGGGCGTACCAGTTCCCAGTTGTGCCTTTGGATTCCTCCTTCAGATCAAGGTAGGAGTCCTGTCCAGCGGAGTGACCAAGGCGGCCGCCGTCCTGGGAGGGAAGCCTCGGAGGTGTGTAGCCAGCGAAGCCCTGTGTTGCTGCTGTTGGCTTTTATGGTGTGCTGAGCCCTGCCCCTGAAGAGTTTGTGGGTGTTTTGTCTCTTGAAGTTGTTTCTGCTGGCCTGTTTCATCGGTGGCCTGTGGGAGGAGGGAGCTCTGGCTTGCTTTCTGCCTGGTGACGGTTCCCTGCTGGAAATGTCCGCCAGGCTCTTGCGTGAATGTCCACAAGTGCATTTGGCTGGCGTCTGGCTCATTACCCGCGGCCTTAGCAATGCACTCACTGCATTTCAAGGTGTCCTGACTATGGGGCCCAGGATTTTGGACTTCAGAAGCTCAGGTAAACATGACTTTTCACTGACTGAGATGCAGACAAGGGGGTTCGGGCCCCTCATGTTTCAACTAGCAACAGCCCCGTTCTCTTTGCAAAGTACTTGTCAAGCTTGCCGTTATCAAATGAGCTATTTTTTTATTCATAGCTTCTTTCCAAATAGCAGCTGGGCTCTTCTGGAAAACCCACAATTTGTATGTTTTGACTTTTTGTTCTGAGTGAGAGAGCTGTTGAGAGTGAGGTGGTGAAGTGAGTTGTGTATTTACATTCCTGTGGTTATCTGGTCTTGGTCTCTGTTCTCTGAGATTTACCTCCTGCTCCCGGCTTTTGCCCTGGAGGCACCACCCCATAGGAAGGTTAGTTCCTCATTCCTCAGCTATTGGGGTGCTTTCCCGGGTTGGGATTCTGCACCCGTGGGAGTCTGCGAGTCCTGCTGGGAATCCTTGCCCTGGGGGCCTCACTGAGAAGCCCCCCTCTTTAACAAAGTCAGAGCCCCATCCTCTTCACACAAATCGCTTTAACCTTCTCAGACAACCCCATTAATTTTTTCCTCATTAATTTTTAATGCAAATATCCAATTTAGATGAGCTGGAGTGGAGAGAATGCTTCCAGGAAGCGATCCCAGAGCTCCCTCACAGGACTTGGAGCCAATTTATTGTACAAATACTTAGAAACAGAAGAGGCTGGAGAAGAAAAGAATGACATCGACTTTATTGATGTAATGAGTTCTTATGTGAGGGGACCCTTGGGAGGGCCAGTGGTCCTGGAGGGACGTTGTTGGGCTTCCCTGTCACCATCTAACTAATCCGAGCTCAGCCTCTCGCTTCCTAGCTCAGAAAACGGCACCTTTGAAGATCACTGTCGCCACCCATATGCCTTTGCCACCCGAAACGCCGCTGGTCCTTTCTGACTGCAGTCGGCTGGCTGACCCAAATGCAGTGTGGGCGAGGCGACCTGTCGCCCGCGCAGGGCTGAGCTGGGTGATTTCTCATTCAGCCACACAGACCGCAGCAAGTTCATCTGCTCCCTTGAATGTTAAAACTTCTGCTGTGTCCCACTCGAGCCCTGGTCCGGAGCTTCTGCCATTGAAGTCTAATGGCATCAGAAGGGATGGGCAGATTGAAATTACCACTGCAACTTTTAAAAGAAGCATAAGGATGAATTCTTCCCTCTTCATCTTCTCCTCTGCACAGGGCTCTTTTATGTTGGAGGAACACTGGGGAGCTATACATTGTTAAGAAACAGATCTCAAGCTGACAGACACCCTCAGAGAAGGAAAGGGAACCTTTCAGTAGCAAAAGACTAAGCATCGTTTTTTAGCTTTCTTTTGGCCTCCATGTTTAAAATTTGCACAGGCTTCCTAATTGTCTTAATTACTGGGCTGGACAGATCCCTTCTCCGGCCTGGCCCGTCCAAGTTAGAGTGTGGACGTGCTTGACCTTCAGAAGCAGGCCTTTCCTCAGTGCGAGGGTCTCGAGGGTCTCGGTTTTTCTGAAGCCGGCGAAGAGGCGGCTGGGAACAGAGGTGGGAACTAGGAGCCAGCACATCTTGGCCTGCAGTGTGTAGTTACAGGACAGAATGAAGAGTGATAGTGGAGAGGGGTCGGAAGCAAGGTCCAGCAAATTCTGATGGCGGAGTCAGTGTGTCACTTGTTTCTAGAGGTGGTCTGTCCAGGTTCCTGGTTGAGATTCTGCTTGTCCTCCCGACAACGAGTAAAATTTCTCTGTGACGCATCAAGAATATAGAGATTTTATCTATACAGCTGGATTTTGGCTTCTCAGTGGGAAACATCTTCTCTTCCTCTTGTTTTACTCTTGTCTTTGCAGCGTCCAAGAGAAGCTGAAACCAGGAAGGAGGAAACAAGATCCTGAGAGACTTTTCTTGTTAAACTTTTGACTGATAAAAGGTCACTTTTTTTTTTTCCACTGACAGTATTTAGGATAGTATTTATGGGATAGTATTTAGAAGTTTTAGTAGTAAGAGAATTTACTTCTTCCCCAGGATTACCCACCCTTTCTCTGCTTTGTCAGATCTGGTAGATTTCTTTCTCCCTGGCATTGAGCAGTGAATCGTTCTAAATTTATTTCTCTATTATTCTGCCACTTCTACTTTTCCCTGAGAAGTGACACGGAAGAACACCTTAAGCTGTCAGTTGGAGCCTACTGGAATGATTTGGCCTTCGGGCCGCATTTCTAGGCGGCCCCAATCGGCCAATCAGGACGAGGCAGAGAAGGACCAGGCCCACTTTGCGCGCATGCGCGGTGCAGCACCATGCTGTGCTGTTTCTTGAATAAACTCGCATACTTACCCCAGTTACCGCCAATACCCCATTTTCTAGATAACTGAAGGTTCAACCGTTGAAATGATTTGGCCAAAGTGGCACAACTAGAAACAGACCGAACCAGAATCCTGGTTGGGCTCTGGCATTTACTTCTTCATCTCTTTGTAGAGCAGAAGAACAAGGCAGAGCTGGGAACCAGTCTGGTTGGGGAGGCAGCTTTCGAGTCTCTTGCGTGGCCCCCCACACTGCCTTGTCTTCAAATCCCTGGGGAAAGTAAGCGTCTGGGTTGCACTTAAGCTGAAATTCCTAAGTGCCATTTAAGAGTCTCTTCAACTGGAGCACATGGCTTTTATCCAAACAGAGACCTTGAAAGCTGGTAATCAAGCCTGGTCACATCTGCAGTTATTCCACCGCTAGCCCAAAAGTGGGGGAAGAGGGAGTTGGGGAACTGTTGTTTAGAAAGGAACAAGCACTGCACTTACAGACACCGGTCTCACTGCCTTCTGGAGTCGGCGCTGTTTTCACCCCCTGGGAACACAGAGTCATGAGCCATCATGTTCAGAAGGAAGCCTTGGTGTGTCATTGATCTGAGGTCTCAGTCAGGAGGAATCCCTTTCTTTCATTCTTGGGTATTTCTCCAAGTTTGTCAGCAGAACCTCTGTCCAATGACTTGCAAAATGCTCGCCCAGGGGACAGTCCTCTCTGTCCCTTGGTTACCCATTGCCTAATGGGGCTGTTGAATGTTGACTGTACTGGGTCATCCTCCAGCATTAGGCAACTTACGCATTTTGTTTGATGTTACAGATCAGCTCTCTCCTCCCCTCCATTCTGCCCTGTAAATTCACGCTGCAAATTAGATACCAGAAGACACCAGACAGCCCTGAGGCTACCAGAGCATAAACTCCCTTCCACAGGGCAGCTGGACTCCTGGAGCACAGCAGCTTTGGGGTTCATCACTGGTCGGCAACTAAAGCTAAACCAGACAATCCCTGCAGCAAGCTCAGCTCAGCCCCTTGGGCACAGATCTAACTGGAAGCTTGGTATAAGTGGAGCAAGAAGAATAGATGGGATGTTTGTTTTAAGACCTCTTTAAAGTCTAGTGGAGCCAGTTAGCATTTGATGTTAACTTAAAAAGAGAACTTGGATCCCAGTTTAGCCCCTAGCCCAGAGTGTTCACCAGCTCCAGTTGCCTCTGTCCAGAGCTTGGAAAGGAGTGACGGGGAAGAGGTCCCAGCTTGCTTGTCTTGACATATTTCAAAGCTTCCAAAGTCCCATGCCCTGAGGCCCTGGCCTCCTCCTGCTCTCTCCTTTGTTGGGACTGATAGGGAGGTTCTAGTACTGAGATAATAAAATACCGCTGCCTTCTGTTTCTTGAAGCGCACCTATTTGCTGGGGCTTTGGCTACAAGGAACAGGAAGCTCTGCTGTTCCTAACGGACTTGACTCCTAATGGACCAAGATTCAGAGTCAAATCCTGGTCCCCATGTCTCACTCCGTGTGGCTTGAGCTGTGTTCCCCCAGAAGATATGTTTGAATTCCCAACCCTGACACCTATCTGTAGATGGGTCAGTGCATCCCCTCAGGTGAGGGCCTGCCAGAGTAGGGCCAGCCCCGAATTCGGTGATGGAGTATGATGAAGGCAGAATTGGGGATGTGGCCCACCAGCCTGTGGATCCCACCCAGGGCTGGAAGAGTGAAAGGAAGGAATCTTCCCTGGAGTCTTGGAGGGACCAGGCCGGGGGACCAGTTCAGACTCTTGGGAGGGACTTTGAACTTGAAGCCTCCAGAACCGGAGGCCGGACCTGTGGACCTGTGAGCTGGGCTCCTGCCTGTTCTTTTCACACCTGAGTATGACTTTGCTCACAGTGGATTTGAAAAAGAGGAAAACAGCTCTAAGAAGACAGCTGACCTGTTGCTTGTTTCTCTCTCATCTACTTCCGTCAGCATGTCAGCATCGTAGGAAGGGGTGGCCAGTGAGGGGACATGTGTGGTGCTGGGGCAGGAACGTTCTAGAAGGTTAAGGAAAAGCGCTTCACGTAAGAGTTAATTTGGGGGCCTGAGATCACTGGCTGGGCTGTGAGAGATAGTTTCTTGGCAACGAGTCTCAGTGGTGCTTTCCGGGCAGGCAGAGATGAGCATTGGGCTGGGGTTTACCTTCACACTCCTGGGTGTCGGGGCGTCCGGGTAGGCGTGGGGGTCTTCCCCTCCCTGGAAGGCCCGTGTGCAGGTCGCTTCAGAGCCCACGCCACATGGGCCTGCAGGGCGCCCGGAGTGTCTGGTGGGTTATTTGTACCTGGCTGGGTATTTTGTTTTGTTTTCATGTTTCACTTGGTAACTGTAAATTATTTCAATGATGAACCTATTCCTTTCCTGAAGTCACTTTCAAGACAAAAATAAGTGTCAGGAGGGCCATGACACTTCTGCCCCTGGTGGCCACTCTCGCTTTTCCACCCAGTGGCCGGGCGGCACAGAGCTGCCCCTGCACCTTGCACCCCGTGTCCAGGAGAGCCCGCGTTCTCTCTTCTTTGGGGGGGAGAGGAGAGCCCCAGGAGGAGGACCAGGGAACGCTCACGCCACCCCAACCTTCCCTGCTGACCCTTTCACGGCCAGGCTGTCCTCAGGGCTCTGTCACTTGGTCTGGGTAAACACAGCCCTCCTGCCTGCCACACGCTTGACGTTTTTATGTCAGGAGGCGGCTTTCCCTCAGACGGGGCCGGGGCTCTGTGCCC